CACCTCATTCATTCCAATGGCTGCAGGTGTACTGATAGATACCCCATTTATTTAACCATTCTCTCCTGATAGACATTTAGATTGTTTCTAACCTTTTGCTACTCAATCTACAATGAAGGTCCATGTACATACATCTTTTTACAAGAGTGAATAAAAGGTAGGATAAACAGATTTGTGATTGATCAGTGAAAGGACATATACTTTTATAATTTTGAAAGCTATGACAAAATTTCCAGCCCTGGTCAGGTAGCTCAGTTGATTACAGTGATGTCCCAATATGCCAAGGTTGTGGGTTTAATACCCAGTCAGGGCACATATAAGAGACCAAAATGCATAAATAAGTGGAACAACAAACCAATGTATCTCTCTCTCAAAAAAAATCAATTAAAAAATTTCTAACACAGAGATGTACCAGTTTACCCAGCATGAACGTGACCATATGCCCCCACCTCCCACTGGCCTTCCTGTTCCTTTCCCAGGGGCAATTAAAATTACCAATTTTTGATGTAAGGAATAATATAGGAATCCAACACTACTATTTTCCAGATGGCTACACACTTGTCAACATACCACTTACTGAATAATCTATGAAAGTATTACTTTTAAACAATACAAACGTTTAAATTTTTGGATCATATTCAGATGTCAAAATTCCAGTTTGAAAAGCTAAGGTTACATTTTCCATACAAATGAATCCCAAAGCCCAGGATCTGGATAAAAGGTTTTATGTCAACATGCCAGTATCATCATGGTACATAAAATGATTGTGAGAATCACTGTTAACTTCTATTTTTCTCTCTCAATAGGAAGAAAGAGTGCAGAGCAAGGCCTGGATGTGTCGAGGTTACCTGTGTTCTCACTCCAAGAAAAGAGCTACATTAAAGGCACATCTGATTTCTTAGGATTAGGTCATTTTACAACCCGGTACATCACAGAAAGGAACTACCCCTCCCGCCGGGGGCCCAGCTACCAGAACGATCGTGACTTAGTAGAACTGGCTGACCCAAACTGGCCTGATCTGGGGTCTCAGTGGCTATATTCTGTGCCGTGGGGATTTAGGAGGCTCCTCAACTTTGCTCAGGTGACTATTACATTAAGCTATTTAAAAGGCATTTTTGACCTGAATTCATGGTCTTAGAGCTTAAGCACACGTGCTTACATTTAAAATGAACAACACAAAACAAATGCAGTTACTCATATTTCAAAGGCTAATATAAACCTGATAGTCTAATGCCTACTATAAATAAGCATTTCAATGTATATACTCTATAGCTAAAAGTCTTATCCCACATTTAGTTATTCTGCTGCCCTTCTCACCTGAAATGGAATATGTGGAAAGAACAAGATATGATATTCTCTCTACAATGATGCTGATTTATTGAGAAATGTATTCTTTCATATGAACTTGCCTCTTGCCTGCATTCATTTCTAAATATATTTAAATGTGTGAACTGGCATTTACTAAACCCTGAACACACTCGATTAAAATATGGCAGGCTTGAACATGTGTGTCTATAGGTACCTCAGACTCAGAAACCCACCTGTAAGTTGAATTTTTAAAGATATTTGTTACTATGACTCACTTTCAGACTCAATATGGTGATCCTCCCATATATGTGATGGAAAACGGAGCATCGCAAACATTACACTGTACTCAATTATGTGACAAGTGGAGAATTAAATACCTTAAAGGATATATAAATGAAATGTTAAAAGGTGAGATACAAACCAAGACTGTCTTCACATATTTTTCTATTTAACTTGAACAAAATTTGATAATACACATGGTTGACTAAAACTTGTTTCTAAATCTCATAAATGAAAACATTTGATTATCTTCATATTATTTTTCCAAGAAAATGTACTGCATTAAAAATGGAATAAAATGTCTTTGCAGCTATAAAAGATGGTGCTAACATAAAAGGGTATACTTCCTGGTCTCTGTTGGATCAGTTTGAATGGGAGAAAGGATATTCAAATAGATATGGATTCTACTATGTCGAATTTAACAACAAAAATAAGCCTCGGTATCCAAAAGCTTCAGTTCAATATTACAAGAAGATTGTCACTGCCAATGGCTTTCCCAACCCAAGAGAGGTAGGACTAATCCCTGTTACTCATTCTGGACTTTAGAAGACCTGGGCAGCTGGGCACACAGAGTTCGGCAAGCACCTCTCTCCCCTTTCCTCCCTGAAAGAGGACAGGGGTCTGTGGGAGCATGGCCTTTCATCTCTGACCATACCTCACACAACCTCTTTGCTCATTTGCTGAGAACAGGTTATGCACACATTAAAATCAATCCTAATATGCAGAACATTAAGGGCAGACTATGATAATGCAGGAGTCCTGTTCGCTTTAGGCTGTATTAGTCAATTAAGACTTTAAGTTCAATGTTCTTCTAAATGTTATATCTTAATGTAAATAAATATTGCAAATTCTTTAAGAGACATGAAAAGTCAAGTAAGTCAAATGTTCATTTCTCTTCCCACCAAATGGCAGAGTCATACAGATGCACTGGTTCCAAATGAGATTAATAATTAAATGTAATAATCCTTTAAAACATACCAAACATTTTCAATAACATATAATTTTTTTCTATCAGCTCTTTATGTTGCTGTACCTAATGGTACGGAATAGAAAATGTAATTTAGAATGTCTTAATGAAAGTAATTTTTACACATTTCACTTCGTTACCAATTCTTTTAGGGTGACCCCAGTGAGACGTGGAAACAGTGACCGACAGCGATCGGGCATCCTCTAGTCTTGCATTACTAGGAAAGCACTAGGAGGGAGGCTCCTTAAGAATAAAGACTGCATTTTGACCCTCTCACAATGACGCACATAGGTATTTAATAAGTGTTAACTAATTTAATCTACAAGCAGATTAAAAACATTAATTACCAAGCAGCTTTTTTTAGGTGGAAAGTTGGTACTTCAAAGCCTTGGAAACTTGCTCAATCAACAATCGGATGCTTGCTGCAGGTGAGTATATTTTAACTCTCCCCTTTGAGAATTAAACTACATAATTACATAGATTGCCGAGACTGGTTTGGCTCAGTGGATAGGGCGCCGGCCTATGGACTGAAAGGTCCCAGGTTCGATTCCGGTCAAGGGCAAAACCTCAAAATGTGGACCTATCCTATGTCAATCTTCCAAACCACATAATTAACAATAATTTATTTTAAGACAATTACAAATGTCTATTTTATAAGCATTTAAAATCATATTTTAAAAACTTACCAGAAAGAGAAATTTATCCACTTTATTCTTATTCTCCCTGAATCATAATGTAAACTTATATATCTTTAAGTTTTGTTATAGTAGGCTTTGTGGAAAGGGGAAAATTCAACCATTATACCAAATGAAATAAAGTCAAAGAACACTATATATTTTATTCACTCATTCAGAAAGTAATTGTTAAGTACTCACTTTTAGGAAGGGGGTGTTTTAACCTCTGGGGATACAGCAATGAACAAAACAAGGTCCCTGACCTCATAAAAGGCTTTTCCCCCTTCTTTTTATGTTTTTATTGATTTGAGAGACAGGAAGGGAGAGGGAGATAGAAACATCAATGAGAAAGAATCATTGATCAGCTGCCTCCTGTATGCCTCCTACTGGGGAACGAGCCTGCAACCCAGGAATGTGCCCTCACAGGGAACTGAACTGTGACCTCTTGCTTCATGGGTTGACGCTCAACCATTGAACCACACTGGCTGGGCAGAAGGCATCATTTCTTATGCAATGGGATTTTAAAAGCTCAGAGATGTAGAATAAGAAATGCCAACACATATCATTTGTTTCTTTGAATTTTGTCATCTCTTTACAAGGGCAGAGAAATACACTTCCTGATTTTTAAATAAATAAATATATAAATAAAAAAGAAAAAAAAACCACCAATGATGACAGAGAATCGTTGATTGGCTGCCTCCTGCACGCCCCACACTGGGGGATTGAGCCAACTTGGGCATGTGCCCTCACCAGGAATTGAACCGTGACCTCCTGGTTCATAAGTCGACACTCAACCACTGATCCACACTAGCCAGGCTAAAGATGTGTTTTAATGAACACATCTTTAATGTGGTATCAGAGGTGGAAAGTGCTAGACCAAACCCTAGCAATTCAGCTATTTTTATAGGCCAATATACCACTGTGCCTATCCCCCTTCCCACATCTAAATAACCAGGCAATATTAAGGATGCATATGCCATTTGACAAAAATAAACTTTTATCACATACAGACATGATGGGGAATTTGTTGAGCTTATAAGCTCTTTAAGAGCAGGGCTTTTGCCTTATTCACCTTGGTAACCAGGGTGACTACACAAAACCTAAAGGCTGGTATTGTACCAATGTCCTCTACTATATTCACATACATGAAATATGCTTAACATTTAACTCTTCAGGAGTAACTGTTAACTATGTCACAATAAAGAAACTCCTATACCTTTTAAGATACACAATAACATCTTTGAAAGACTGGAAGTGTTTCCTAAGGATTTTTCTTTCACAAATTCCCCCTGTGAAAATTATAAAACCATGGGATATAGCTGCTAATAATCTGAGATTAATTATGGTCAGCACAAGGATTAATACACACTTAAGACTTTATTACAATACCTATGGAAGAATCAAATTTAGGCATTCTTTGTCCTGTTTTCTGAAATATTTCCAAATACCTCACATAACTTTTTATAACATTTAATTCTTTAATAGCAAGTGAGAATAATTAGAAAGCGTGATGCCATTTTCCAAGGTTTTCCAATACAGCTAAAGCTTTCAGGATGAACTATACTTGCTGAAATGATCACGTTCCCATTTGTGCTGGTGTTCCTTTCCAGAGCCTTTGCTAAGTCATATGCAGATGGTGACGGAGATCGTGGTACCCACAGTCTGTACCCTCTGTGTACTAATCGCTGCAGTTCTCCTAATGGCCCTCCTGCGGAGCCAGAGCTGAGACAGGGTTACCCATTTTGCAGCTTCATCTTTCAGTAATCTTCCGGCTCTTCCTCTATTTTCTGCTTCAAAAATTTACATACCTCTGTTTCAGCCATAGTAATGTTTTTCTTTTTGCTTTTTTGGACTTATGCTGGGATTTAAGAATTAAAAAAATAAAAAATAAGCATTCAATAAATAAAATAAAAATCACATGTCATTTTACCATTCTCAAAGTCAAAGTTAATATTTTGCTGTCTAATACGCACCTATTTTCTTTTTTTGGAACTTATTTTCATTTTGCAAAAAGGGATCACAGTGTACAAACTTTTATAACTTGATTTTATTTTTAAGTCTGTCCAGAAACATAACTTTAATGTAGAAATAAATGCCATCTAAGCACTGTCTTACACATGATGGATAGTCAATCATCTATCAATAACAATCCTTTCAGTTTATAAATCTTATAAGGCAACCAGGGAAAAGCTTAGGTGGGTACCAAGCAAATGAGCACATACACTTTCCTAATTTCAAGATCTCGAAGAAATATAATTAGTTTATATATCTTTTCTTTAACTAGTTATTTTGCTTTTTAAAATTAGGATTCATTTTATTCTTAACTATGCTAAAATTAGTCTTCATTTATCTGAGGACAAAACATGGCTTAAGAAGGCATAATATCAGGTATTTTACTCACTATCTGATTACTCATTATTTAATGTTGTTTCTAAAACACAAAAACATTAAGATAGTAGGAATGCTATTCCATTATTTCTTTTGGTTGGTTAATACTCTCAAATTAAACATTTTTTGAAGGGGGTTTATTTAGTCTTACAATTGGGCTGGGGTAAAATTGCTTTTAACAAATCTTTGTTTTCAATGTCAAACTGATGCACCTGTCCAGTGTTTTTCTCTTCCATTAATATTTTTAAAATCCAACTCTTTCTACTCTATATCCAGCTTTAAGGTACAATATTTCCACTCAAAAAAAATTTGTTTTTGTTTCCCTGGTTTTAAAATTAAACTGACCTAGTAAGTTGACTACAGAAAATAGACAGGAAATTAAAGACTTACACTGCTCAGTAACATTTGGTAAGTCTTTTATATGATTACTGATAAGTAATCTATATTCCTAATGTATTAAGTCAGTATTTATGTTGTAGGGGAAAAAAACATAACACATTACAAAGTATTCAGAGAGAACAAACAGTGACCACACTACCTGATAGAGGAGCCCATCAGCACACTTCACTTGAAATGCACCTGGCTGCAGGTCACCATGATAGTATAGGATATCCTTTCTTCCAGGCTACTGTTTAATATGGATTCAGAAAAATCTGTAACTAGAAAGACAGTGAGATCAGAATTGTTTGCACCCTGCTGACTTTTCTACCATATATTCTGCTGAATTTTACAATAATAGAGGGGTAACCTGAATGATGTGTCTTCTACTTTAAGAGAATTTGTTAGACTAAAAGCAGCAAGAACAATTCCTTTAAGTAGTAAACACTCTTGATGCATTGAAAACATGACTAAACAAATTAAAATATAAAGCAGATTTTTAAAAAAATTATATATTTTTTATGTTTGTGCCTCATCCACTACAGTTAAATAATTTTTTCCAATCTTAAATATGTATGTCAGAAAAAATATTCTACCTAGGATTTGTAGTTTTAGGGTTAGACACATACCTGTTTTTTCCTCCTGAAGTCTGTTGTATTTCAAAATAAATGGTACAATTAACATTTAGATGAGATTGTGTGCACTTTCTTGTGGGTCAACATTTTGGTTCCATATTCTCACCATTATCAACAATCATTTCCTGAACACCCTCTGGGTGAGCAACAGTCTACTGGACACTACATGACAGATAAAGGTACATTTTTCTCTCTTAAGTCTTCCTGCTTTTGATATCAACTGTTCTACTCCAGAGTATAATACCACTAGATATCTTGAAAAACTAGTATTCAACCAAAGTGTTTAGTCCAATGAAATAGAAAGTCTAACTTCTTAATACATATGACCTTTAGAAAAAAAATCATTACTGGGCTTTAATATTTACAATCAGTGCTTTTTTTGAATATAAATGAGGTCCTCCTTCAATAGTGGGTCTTGTTTTGGGCCAAAGGTCACTGAAAAATTTCCAGACAAACACATCAAGAATATATGATGGGTAGAAGAGGTTATATTATCCAAGCCAAAATGAAGTTTGCGTGTATTTCTAAGCACACAATTTCATTTAAATTTTATTTTCATAGGACTCATTACACCAATGCATTAACAAATTGTTTTAACTCTAACATTAAAAATCACTTTCACTCTTTTTTTCAAACAAACTGCATCAAAAAGACAAAGATATGTTCAGTATCCTTCACTTATTCAGCATCATTGGAAAAAGGTGTTTAATGTTGCATGAATTTCCTCATTTCAGAGGTTATTTAATCTTTCTGTAGTAAAATTTTAAAACAGCATTTTCAAAAATACATCACATATGTTCATGTGTTTAAAACTTACTTTTTAATCATAAAAGTAATATATATCTTAAAAAAACACACACACACACACCAGAAACAACATAGTAAATAAAATAAAATGTTTAAATTGGTGGTTCTCAACCTTAAGTCGCACAAGGGAATTACCTGGAGAACTTTAAATATTACTGATTTCCAGGCTCTTCTTCCAGAGATTCTAATTTACTTGGTCTGGGTATAAGAACTTTAAACTTTAAAAATTCCCCAGATGATTCTAACATTCAGGCAAAGATGAGAATCACTCCTGCCCTCACCTTGCTACACCTCAGGAATTTGGGCGTATCCTTCCAAACCTTCTTCTATGCCCATCTTTATGTTTTCTCTAGTATTTTGCTACTGTAAACACTACGTACTGCAATCAATAATCTTGTTCATAGGTCTTTTTGCACATCTAGTTATATGTGTGGAATAAGTTCCTATTAAAGAAACTGCTGGCCGAAGCCGGTTTGGCTCAGTGGATGGAGCGTCGGCCTGCGGACTGGGGGGGCCCGGGTTCGATTCCGGTCAAGGGCGTGTGCCTGGGTTGCGGGCACATCCCCAGTGGGGAGTGTGCAGGAGGCAGCTGGTCGATGTTTCTCTCTCATCGATGTTTCTAACTCTCTATCTCTCTCCCTTCCTCTCTGTAAAAAATCAATAAAATATATTTAAAAAAAAGAAACTGCTGGACCAAAAAAAATGTATTCTTGTAAAATTTTGGTGGATATTGCCCTCCAAAGAAGCTGTACAACTTTACACTCCACACAGCAATGTGTGAAGTTGACTGACTGCCTGTTCCCCCATGTCCTTGCCAGCACTGACACCTAACTTTTTGATCTTTGCTAAACTGATAGGTGAAGGTAGGTAACATGACATATAACATAAATTTGCATTTCTCTGATTATACAGAGTTGAGCACCTTTTACTTATTTATTTTTAAATATTTTTATTGATTTCAGACAGGAAGGGAGAGGGAGAAAGAGATAGAAACATCAGTGATGAGAATCATGGATTGGCTGCCTCCTGCACATCCCACACTGGGGATCAAGCCTGCAACCTGGGCATGTGCCCTGAACCGGGAATCAAACCATGACCTCCTGGTTCATAGGTCGATGCTCAACCACTGAGCCATGCTGGCTAGGCTGAGCACCTTTTATTTTTACTTTTTTTGGTTGTTAATACTCACCCGAGGATATTTTCCATTATTTTTTTTAGATAAAGTGAAAGGGAGGGGGAGAGACAGAGAGAGAGAGAGAAACATCTACATGAGAGAGACACATCGATTGGTTGCCTCCCACATGTGCCCCAACCAGGGTGGGAATTGAGCTTAAAATTGAGGTACATGCCCTTGACCACAATCGAACCCGTGTCCCTTCAGTCCAAAGGCCGACACACTATTCATTGAGCCAAACCGGGTAGGGCAGCACTTTTTATTTTTTAAAAAATATTTTTATTGATTTCAGAGCAAAAAGGAGGAGATAGAAACATCAATGATGAAAGTGAATCATTGGTCAGCTGCCTCCTGCACGCCCCCTACTGGGGATCAAGCCTGAACCCTGAGCATGTGCCCTGACTGGGAATTGAGCCTCCTAGTACATAGTAGGTAGACACTCAACCACTGAGCATCACCGGCCAGGCATCACCTTTTATTTTTTAAATGACATTTGAATTTCTTTTCTGTTGAACTGTCCATATTACTTGATTATTTTACTAGGGAATGTAGCCCCTTTTCTGAACTTGAGCTACAAATTTCTTTTCCTAATTTGTCATTTATCTGTTGTTTTGCCTCCAGTATTTTTTGCCTTGCAGAAATTATTTTATTTTTATATAGTTTACTTTCAATCGTTTATATAGATTCCATGTTTTCTATCACACTTTGAAAAGACAGCATGATTCTAACTGATGATTTTCAAGAAAATTCTTTCTGTTTCTTTAGGATTTATACAGTTCAGCCATATGAATAGAGAAGTTTCCATTCTAGTTGAGAGAAGTTTCCATTATGCTTGAATTAAAATATATTTTGGGGAGAAGGATAAACATTTTCTGGAAATAATTTTGCAAGGTATTAATCACTTAAATAGGACTATTTCTATTCTCAGACGTAGTTAACTATAGGCTTTTGAAATCTTGGATTTTTTCTTACAACCACTAGATTTGATTTTGGATAATACTTGCAATATTTGGCCGAAACCGGTTTGGCTCAGTGGATAGAGCGTCGGCCTGCGGACTCAAGGGTCCCAGGTTCGATTCCGGTCAAGGGCATGTACCTGGGTTGTGGGCACATCCCCAGTGGGAGATGTGCAGGAGGCAGCTGATCGATGTTTCTCTCTCATCGATGTTTCTAACTCTCTATCTCTCTCCCTTCCTCTCTGTAAAAAATCAATAAAATATATACAAAAAAAATTAAAAAAAATACTTGCAATATTTGAATTCAGTCATTTAAGACAGATACAAGTAGAAGACTACAGCACCACACAATCCACAGGTGTGAAGATGACAGTTTTATATGTGTTTAACAAAGGAGGCAGACTTTATAGGCCAGCTAATTACACCAGGGGCTAAAAAAACATTCTTTGATAGAATACTAGAAACCTCAACCCTTATTCCAGACACAGAAGACATTTGGGCAGAAATATCACTATTTTAAACAGTGCACAAAAGTGTGAAGTATGGCATTTCAATCTTTTAACTTCTTTTTATTCCTACTGCTTGATCTCACGTAATAAAAGCTCCTTTATCCAGGTTAACGAAAAAAAGCACTGTTTCATGATTCCTTTTTTCAGAATAAATATGTTTACATGTAGAGTTTAGGAAAATCATTTAAATGGGCACAAGAGCCCAGCAGGTGTGACTTATTGGTTGAGCATCAACTCATGTACCAGGAGGTCATGGCTCGATTCCTGGTCAGGGCGCATGCCAGGGTTGCTGGCTTGATCCCCAGTAGGGGGCATACAGGAGGCAGCCGATCAATGATTCTCTCTCATCGATGTTTCTATCTCTCTCCCCCCTCTTCCTTCTTCTCTCTGAAATCAATAAAAACATTTTAAAAATATTAAAATTGAGCACAAGACCTATAATAATAATCTCTACCAGTAAAATTTTATTTTCATTTTCAATTTCTCTAAATAGATTACAAACCGTATTTACCAGATTTGTGGCAATTCAGATGGTCTACAGGTAGACTGTCACTCAGTTGCCAAACTGTTTTCACCTTTTTTTGACCACTATTTATTTCCACTCTCCATTTCTGTGGCTTCTCACTAAGGAAATAAAAAACATCAAAGGGAAAAAGTAGTTATTTCCTTTCTTTCTTCCTTCTACAGTCATTAGTGGATTTTCACTAATGAAATCCTTATATGATAAGCACTAAGGAAGAAGAGACAAGTCAGAATTCTAAATTTTAGAGGACACTGAAGTTGGGGGTTCACTTCTAAAAGGCATTTAGAAACATGGGTCTGGAACTCAGGAGAAGCTGGAGATATGGGTTGTGAATTATTAGCCCAGGGGAATTGAAACCTTGAGTATGAATGTAATCACCCAGGGAAGATAGAAAGTAAAAACAAAAGAAGTCAGAGAATATAGAGTTCTGGTGAAAACTCACATATAAAAAGCAGACAGAGGAGGGAGAAACTGATAGGGAACTAGTCTCAGTCTAGGAGGTGGACCAGAGAGTTAGAATTAAAATTAAGACAGAACATAATGTCACAGAAACAGAGGAAGGGAAAGGTTCGAGAAAGCAATTGTGTTAAACGCCAAACTGCCTTGTAAGTGCTTACTGAAGGAGAAAGAACTGGTGGGCCAGGTAATTGCACAAGGAGCTAAAAAACACTGTCACATTGGAAAGTGTCCACTGGATATGATAATTAGAAAGACACTAATAAGCCCTGGCTGGGTAGCTCAGTTGGTTAGAGCACTGCCCTGATACACCAAGGTTGCAGGTTTGATCCCCGGTCAGGGCACATACAAGAATCAACAAGTATGCATAAATAGATAGAACAACAAATTGATGTTTCTTTCTCTCTCTCTCTCTCTCTCTCTCTCTCTCTCTCTCCCTTCCTCTATCTCCTCCTAAAACCTAAATAAAATAAAATAAATCTTAAAAGAATAAAGAAGGCCCCTGATGGCCCCTGCCAGAGCAATTTCATGGGAGTGCTGGTGCTGGGGTTTCAATCAGAGGGAGCTAAATAGAGGGAGGGTATAAAGGAGAGTGACTTTAGTATAAGAGAAAGTTCAAGTGCATTATATGCTAAGGGAAGACCATCATTTGAGGCAAACTCAAGTGTTCACAGGGATGGCTAATCTGTCTTCTTAGCCTCACAGTTCTCTACCTCCTCAATCCATACTCTTCTCTCACTCCCACTGCCATACCTTTGACTTTATCATTACCCTGATCACTCTTTTCCCACTGTCATTTCCTTTCTGGTTATACTTTCTACCCTGTTCAGCAAAGAAATCACAAATTGAGAGAAAGATGAAAGACTAGAGGCTCAATGGGCGAAAGAGAGTAGACAAAAGGTCTGGGAGAAGGCAGGGCAGAGGGGGACTATCAGACTATGAGCAGAGACGGGGTCAGATGATGAAGGTTTCAGAGCAGAAGCAGCTCTGGGTCCTGGGGAACAGACACCGAAACTGCCTGGAATCATGACCGGACGTAAAGCACAATTTAATTATTAAATTGCTTACCTTTGATACAAATTTTTTACAGCAGTTGGTCTGACTGGCAGCTGAAAAATATGTTGCTCATCAAGAGGATTTTGTTTATAATATTTTATGCAGGATCTAAAAAGTAAAAAAAAGACCCTATTTTGGAAAAAAATGCCACGTGGAGATAAAGGCTTTCTGGTAGTCTAAAATGCATAAGGGAACCATTTTATTGAATGCTACTAATCATAACGTCAACAACAGAATAATTTCAGGGACACAAAAGTAAAAAACAAACATATAATACCCCTACTCCCAACAAAACATTGGTTATTTCTCTTTTTTCTTTTTGATGGAAATATCATTTGCTTTTAAAAAATTAGTAGTAGACATATTTCTCTTAAATATAAAATACATTTAAATTGAGCCCAAATAAGGCTTAAGTGGAGTGGGGGGGCACGGAGAGAAAAAAACAAAGAGGCAAAAGAGAAAGATACAACCTCCATGGTTTTCAGAGTCTGGGGAATTAAAGAATTAACTTTATTTATATACTTATCTTTAATGGAGAAAAAAACAATAACAATTTCTTAGTACCTTTCCCTTTACAACTGAGGCAAATTCTAATTTTGGAAAAGGGAGAGGAACATTTCCTTTCAAAAGGAAAAAAAAAACTCAATTCTGCCACTGGATGGTTCACTTATTTCTGGTTTGAGACTCCAATACACACAAGACACCAGTAATCCATGTATGAGAATTATTTCAAACTAATTTTAGTCAAACTGATGGACAGAAATCTCTAAATTACAGTAATGCTGTTGACAGAGGTCTGGTAATATTTAATTCCATTTAGTTACCATATAAATGGCTAGCAATTAGTTTGGCCCAAATGTATAAAAATGTAACAAAAAGACAAGGAACTAATATTTATTAAGCACCTATTAAGTGACAGGTACTGTATATACATTATATCACTTAATCCTGACAACAAACACATGAGGTTATTAGATCCTCTTATAGATGAGAAAATAAGATGCAGTGAAAGGAAACTTCCTCTGGAAATTAGGAAGTGCCAGAGCCGAGTGTTAAACTTATTCCTTCTGAACTCAAAGACTTTTCTTCCTATGACAGTGACTTAGAACCATTCTGCTACTGTGAAGACAGGATGTGCAGATTCTATCCTAACCAATAATAAAAAGGCACATATTTTGGCTGCAACTATTTCAGAAGAGAATGTTATGTTAGTAAAAACAACAGAGAAATACTTACTGTGTTAAAGAAAAGAGAAGCTCATGTTGAGGTTTAATGAAAAGCTTGCAACTGACTATTATTTCTAGAATATGGTGGAGTTTTTGAACACGACAAACTTGTTCTTGTATATCTACTGACGGAGAAACGAAATATTCCTAGAATGAAAAAAAAAAGTATAAGCAAAAGTATAAGCAAAACAGGGAGTTAGTTAAGGGAAATCTTCAGAAAGAATATGGATATGCCTGCTAAACCTAAGTCTAGATGCTTAATTCATAGGTGGGAAAAAAGACAGTATTTCTCTAATTAATCTGTAAGTAAAGTCTTCACTGAGGATGTTCTCAGCAAACCATCCTACATATTCTCTGGTGAAGGCACATCACAGAAATGCTTCACTCAATAAGGCCCAAGAGGGTGGCTACTATACCCACTAACCTCTCCAGATGGACTAAATGGCAAATCCAGATAATTCTTAACTTCAATACTCTTGCTATGTTGATGGAAGTGTCCACCTCTAAAATAGGTAGTAAACCTGAAGTACCAAGAAATTAAGCAAGTGTACGGATAAGATTCCACTCACATATATCACTGGTAAATTGGTACAACCCTTTAGAAAAGAAATTTGGCAATGTATGCCAAGCATCATAAAATGCTCAGGTTAATATTATTTCTGAGAACCCATCCTAAGGAAATAGCCCTTGGCAAATATGGTAGGTGGAATTCTACAATGGTTCCCAAGATTCCCACCCCTCGGAGTACACATCTTGTATAATCCCTTACCCTTGAGTGAGCCAGGACCTCTGAATATGATGGAATGTCACTCCTGTGAATAGGTTCCTAACTGATGGACATTTAATCAATCAAAAGAGAGATCACAGTCATTACTACGGCCTAATCAGGTGAGCCCTTTAAAGGTGAAGATGGCCGAAACCGGTTTGGCTCAGTGGATAGAGCGTCGGCCTGCGGACTGAAGGGTCCCAGGTTTGATTCCGGTCAAGGGCTTGTACCTGGGTTGCGGGCACATCCCCAGTGGGAGATGTGCAGGAGGCAGCTGATCGATGTTTCTCTCTCATTGATGTTTCTAACTCTCTATCTCTCTCCCTTTCTCTCTGTAAAAAAAATCAATAAAATATATTTAAAAAAAATAAAATAAAAGGTGAAGATGCATTAGCGATATCTCCCACAGGCTCTGAAGAAATAGACCGCCTGTAATGTTTGGAGAGGGTCACATGGCAAGGCCCCACAAACAACCTCTGGGACCTAAGACTGATCCTGAGCCAACAGTTAGCAAGAAAATGGGACCTTTGTCATAGGTCACAAGGAAAAGAATTCTATCAACAACAAATGAAGGAACTTGGAAGTAGATCTCGCTCTTAAGCCTCTGAAAATGCAGCTGACACCTTGATTTCAGCCTTGTGAAGACCTGAGCAGAGAAGACCCAGCTAAAATGTGCCCAACTCCCAACCCTTGGAAACTGTAAGATAAATTTGTGTTCATTTAAGCGTTTAAGTTTGTGGTAATTTGTTATAAAGAATAGAAAACTAACATAGTAAGGGAAAACATCAGTTATTTGGAATAGGAGATGGCTTGTTTAAAAAGACAATTACTGAGCCCTAGACTTACCCAGTCACTGGGGCCTAGAAATTAGCATTTTAACAATCCTTCTAGGAGATTTTCAAGTTTACGGACTATTATGTCAAAAGTTTGGAGTCAAAACCATATTTTTAAAAAACAGGCATATGAAATGACTAGAGGGGAATTCATAAAAATTAGAGTACTAATATTTGGGTGATGAGATTAAGGGTGTATTTGTCCTATAAGCATTCTAACTTTTAATAGTGTTATTACTTTTCTAAGTTAAAAAATTTTTTATCAAACCATTCCCATCCGGGCCCCCCATTAACATATATACATATGTATACACACACACACACACGTATGTTTCCACTAAAAAGATATATAAAATGTTTAAAATTTGAAAAGCAAAAATTAAACCTCTAAAGAATTCAGTTGAATCTTACTTTGCACAACAGACCAGCTAGAGTTTTTTATCTTGTATTTTTCTGAGACAAATAACAAATGAGTTGGTACTATAGATTCATTCCTGAGCCCCACTGGTGTGGTTCGATGGTTGACTGTTGCCCTAGGAACCAGGAGGTCATAGTTTGATTCCCGGTCAGGGCTCATGCCAGGGGTTGTAGCTCGATCCCTAGTAGGGAGTGTGTGGGAGGCAGTTGCTCAATGATTCTCTCTCATCATTGATCTCTCTGTCTCTCTCCCTCTTCCTCTCTCTGAAGTCAATAAAAACATATTTAAAAGGATCTTCCATTGAATGTCAAGGGTCAGTACAGATGCTGTTTAATTTCCTAAACTTCCTAAATAAAGACACTAGAAAAATACAGAAGTTTGTAATCATGACCCTGAAGCCCAGAAGTCTCCTTTGAATCAATATATTAAAGAACATTGCAAATTTTTTGGAATTTGTGTGTAATAGAAACGAGTCAAGAGAATATAAAGCAAAAATTCCTTTATAGGGCCTATAAAGAAAGGCATTCCCTAATCATTTTACTTGTATATGTTTTTTAAAATATGTTTTTATTGATTTTAGAGAGAGAAGAAGGGAGAAGGAGAGATAGGAACATCAATGAGAGAGAAACATCGATTGGCTGCCTTCTGCATGTCCCCTTACTGTGGATCAAGCCTGCAACCCAAGCATGAGCCCTGACCAGGAATTAAACTGGTGACATCTTGGTTTATGGGTTGATCTTGAGCCACTGAGCAATACTGGCCGGGCCCTACCAATTTAGATAAATGGGAGTTGTGAGAGTACAATGGCTTCAG